ACTGCCCATTTATGGAAAAAAAAATGGTCAAATTTCATTACATGTAACTGCCCTTTTTGTTCAAAGCATTTTTTGATTTACACACGCAATAATAAAGCAAACGGCAGGTTGTATACGCGAGCAATGGAAGCTCTTAAACGAGTGCGTTATGACAAACGTTAGAAATGGCAAAAAAAAAGCAAGTTTCATATATAGCTCCGAAACTCATATGGAGAGCAACATATATATATATATATATCTATATCTATATAGTAGAGAGGTACACACAGTTCAAAACAGTATGGCATTTGGTCGAATGCCAGTAGTATGTTGGATATGGCTTAAAATAGAACTGGCTTTGAGGTCGCGAAAAAGAAGAAAAAAAAAAGTAGAAAAGATAGTAAAAGGGTTAGGTGACGGTGTTAGTGATGATACTGTCGTGGTATATAGTTTGAGGGTGGGTGCGAGAGGAAGATAGGGAAAAAGTAGATTCCCTCTCTCTATCTTTCTGATGTGTTCGAAAAAGTGAGGACAAGAAAAGAACCGAGAGGAAAGAAAAGATGGCAAAATTTATATATAGAACATGGGCATAACCATTTCATCTGCTACGTTTGCAGTGGGCGCGCAAAAATGCAACTTTTCTGCAATCGTTTTTTTTCAGTATTTTAGAGGTCAAATATTTTCCAAGATCCAGGTGTACGGAGTTTAAAGTATTAATAATTTCTCATCTCTAAATATAGACATAGAGAGAGAGAGAATGTTTATATCGTCAATAACACGTTGTTTTCTCTCCGGAAAGTTTAGATCGTGTTAGAAACTACTTTGTAATCCATAAAAGAAAATCCTTTTTTATGGATAGTTCTTTTGCCATATATAAAATCTTTGCTATCAAAGATTTTCAAACTTTCGAGAGCATTTATGAATCAAGCAATATATATATTGAATGAATTCTTTTTATCTATTGCAATTTAAAATTTTATTTAATAAATAAAGTCAGATTTGTAGTCGCAATGATTTTTAAAATCTCCAAGTTACGAGTTTCAAGCGAATTTGATAAATGTTTAAAAATACCTTCTGCTACATTGGAACGGGCATTTTAAATTTGTAAAAACGGATTCGTAATCAACGTACTTTTCTCTATTAGTATCAATAGAAAACAAACACTGAAAAAGTGGTTTGATTTTGATAACAAAACGATTGGTTGGTATTTAATGAAACAACATTTTTTTTCTGCGTTAACAAAATTTTAAATGTCCCAAATAAACTTTAATTAAGACAACAAAAATCCTTTTTTCTAATTTTGGTTGTATCAAGCAAAGTTTGATTTTAAATTAATCGAGGGAACAAAATAATTTTAATTCCTTAAATACCAACTAAACGTTTTGTTGTCAAAATCAAATTTTCAGTTTACAAACTGTCTGTGCAATATTAATATTTTGCATCTCAAAGTTTGTAAATATATAGATACTAAATTGTTAACTATATTAATAAGTAATTATTGTACCAAGAATATATATAATATACCAAAATTTCCACCTAATTTTCGATTTTCACAAACCTGTTAGTAAGCTCGTGCATTAATTAACGGCTATTCGTGTTTCGACAGATATTCTATGACAAATGTATGATTATATTTCAAATGTGATTTAAAATTATTAAACATATCCTGCGTTTCACTTGATAATGAAAATCCAAAATACATATATGTTGATTTATTATACATCATTTCCCTAGTAAATGTTTCATAAAATCCATTAGTCGTGTATGTTTATATTATATATATATATATGAGAGATTCTTTTTCAATCGCCCCAGCCCAAAAAGTCAATGTTCTGGGATTGGCTTCATACTTTGGTAAATTGTTGTCCTATATGATAGTAATAAATCCCTAAAATATAAACTCATTAAAAAAATATTTGTAGAAAGTAGAGGGGGTTGACGTTTTGACGTTAAGGGTAACATAGTCATTTTCAAATCCGTATAACTATGACAAAAGTTAATGGATTTTAATTTATCTATAATGAATTTTATTGCATTTTTCACGTACTTTTCAAAAATGTATACAAAATTTAAAAAAAACATTTTTGACCCCTTTTTTTTCAAAATCAACCCTTATTTTTCGATTTTCACCCCTTCGGGAATTTTTTTTTGTTTTTTTTTTATTTTCATTGGAAAGCTGAGGTTTTTTCCCATGAGCTATGTAAATATGAAAATGGGACAACAATAATTTTGTGAGAAACATAATATTAAATTAGGCGGTGCCTATCTAAATCCTCAAAGATGATCTCCAGGTACACCCCTTATCGGCACCGCCTACTTTAATATTCTGTTACTCACAAAATTATTGTTGTCCCATTTTCATATTTACATAGCTCATCGGAAAAAACCTCAGCTTTCCAATGAAAATAAAAAAAAAAAAAAAAAATACCCGAAGGGGTGAAAATCGAAAAATAAGGGTTGATTTTGAAAAAAAAGGGGTTAAAAAATTTTTTTTTTAAATTTCGTATACATTTTTGAAAAGTACGTGAAAAATGCAATAAAATTCATTATAGATAAATTAAAATCCATTAACTTTTGTCATAGTTATACGGATTTGAAAATGACTATGTTACCCTTAACGTCAAAACTTCAACCCCCTCTACTTTCTACAAATATTTTTTTAATGAGTTTATATTTTAGGGATTTATTACTATCATATAGGACAACAATTTACCAAAGTATGAAGCCAATCCCAGAACATTGACTTTTTGGGCTGGGGCGATTGAAAAAGAATCTCTTATATATATATATATATATATATATATATATATATATATATATATAATATATATACATGTATATATATATATATATGTATAATATGTGCGTTTATTCACCGTCAATTATACAATATATTTAAATATTTTTTACAAAGTGGATGACTTTGTATAAATATATATAAATAGGATGCAATTAAATACTTAGTTGTATCAAAAAATATTGTATCAAAGAATATTTTACAATTTTTTTTATTTTGCAAATTGTAACTTGTTTCTGTCGAGAGAAAACAAACAAAATTAATTAAATGATTTGTGGCACACATTTTTTATAAATGCTGGAAATTATTATTTAAATCAAATACATTTTTTTTCAATGGCATTTACTTGGATAAAATATTTTTTATTTCCATCTAAAAAATGAATATTTAATTTGAATAATTTCAAATTATTTGAATAATAATCAATTGAACCTAATAAATTATAATTAGATCAAATAAATAATTAAATAAATCTAATAAATATTTATTATTTATTGTTTGAATCAAATAACTTTTTTTTCATTATTTTGTTTTATTTTTTTTTTATTATATTTTATTTTGTTTATTTAATTTACTTTTATTATTCTTTATTAAATTTTTAACGTAATTTTAATTAATATTAATTAATTATTTTACCAATAAAAAATATTAATTAATATAATTATTAATATATTTATTATTGAATTTATTTATTTAAATTTCAGTTAAAATAATAAAAATTTGAAATTATGAAATATATTTAAATTATTTCAATTTTTATAAAAGATATTTGATAATTAAATATAAATATATATATATATATATATATATATATATATATATATACTGAAAAAAATTTATTTGATTCAAATAATCGGTTACTTGACTATTAAATTTGAATTAAATAAATTATACTTGAATCAATAATTTCTGTACTTGAAACAAATACTATTTAATTGACGCAAATAAAAATTATTTGGTTCAAGGAAATAATTATTAAATAATAGTCAAGTAATCGATTATTTGAATCACATAAATTTTTGTTCAGTGTATATTTTATTTTCATTTGTTTTAAATTTGGCGCCGTTATTTTTGGTTTTTAGACAGTAGCGCCATTCAATTCATAAGTTTTTAACCTAAAATTTTTCTTCACATAATTTAATAAATACAATATGAATTGTCTTTAAATATCAAAATTTTTTTCAAATTCTATGCGTTAATTTATTGCATCAAAGAGTTTTTGATTCTGATTATTTTATTATTAGTATTATTATTTTATTATAATATTTTTATGAATAATTAATTGTTATTTGACAGTAATTGTCAATTTATCTTAAGGAAGTTCTCTCCCTCCAACGTCAGTCAAATCAATGCCCATTTAAGTTTTCATTTGTATCACGTAGTACTAGCTCAACGCTTGGCAACGTTGGATTATATTTCCCCCGTTCCGTTTCGTGTCGTCTGCTATTGTTTGATTTATTTTCGTTAAATAATAATAATAATAATTTATTATTTTAAAAATCTTAATTTTTTATAAGCAAATTCAAATTATTATTCATTATTATGAATCTTTGAAGAATATACTATTATATGTATATACTACTTATATTACTTTCAAATTTCGCGCTTTTTCTATACCTAACCTACAAGACACAACGTTGCCAAGCGTTGTGCTAAGTAATTTCTGATTGTCAAAATACGGTGTTTTTTTAGACAAAATAATTAATTGTGAGTCTCCTAAGCCAGGTCTGATCAATTTTATTAAAAATAAGTGAACATTGGCTATTAAACTTTATGTATATAAAGTTCCAGTAATATCTTTTCGTCAGATTTTTCACAATTTGAGATTTCAGACCAAAAAATTCAATTTCCCATAAGAACCCGTGTTAAATGTGAAAAGAGAAAATTATTTATATCTTTTGTCAAAATCCACCTAGACCTCTAAAAATTTAACTACATCTTCTTTAAACCATTATCTATCAGTTTATCAAGTTTGATAATTACCTCTTCGTCATTTCTGTTTGCGAGAGAACTTCCTTAATCTCAAAATAAGTCGAACCAGGTTTATTTTTGCTGCAAAAAAATTTTTTTTTTAAAAACTGTTAAACATATAAAAAATAGTGTAATATAAATAAATATTTTTTTGTAAAAAAAATTGAAAAACTTATTAGTGAAGAAAATTGTTTCCTATTCTATTATTTTTCTTCTCATATAAATTACATAGAAACGTTTTTTCTTTCAAAAGGTATCCTGGATGAGAAGTAGAGATCTTCACATCTTGACCACAAGTGAGATTACCTTCAGTTCTGATTCGAGATTTAGCCCGCAGCACTCGCCTGGAAGTGATGCTTGGACGCTACGACTGGATCGTGCCAAAAAGACAGATTCTGGAAAGTACGAATGTCAGGTCAACACTGAACCAAAGATCATGTATGCAGTTCAGCTTTTTGTACGAGGTAATTGTCTTCTCTTATATATATATATATATATGTATTATATAATATGAATTAATTCAATATCCCTCTCTTTGCTTTTTACCTTGTCATTCGTCTGATTGATTTCTAGACAATCTAAAAGTTGGAAAAGAAAATCTTGAAACGAATAAGAGAATTCTATTGAAAAAAGATTGAATAAATGAGAAATTTATTAAAGCACTTCATTCTCGAAAGAACGAAATTATCCCTCTCCGTAGAACAAAAATCTATTTTAGCCTTCTTGATTATATTGACATTCTACTCTTTTTATTATTATTATTATTATTATTATGTGATTTCAATTTTCTTTTTGGTTTGTTTTTCTTCTAGATCCTGATAAACCTGAAGGGTTCGATGAACCTTTTTCTCAACAAACTCGAATAAGTAAGTTATATTTGAAAATTTTTTTTTTTATAATATTGTTTTTTGAGAAAAATATGTTCTGTGTGGGTAATTTTCGAACTTGTACATAAAAAACCCATTAACATGTTAATTAATTAATTTTTATTAATTTCAAAACTCACAAATTTTTTTTATTTTTATTTTGTAAGTAATTTTGAGGTTATTTGAAAGTTCAATTTTATTTTTCGGAATTTAATTTTTTCAAGAATTTCGGAACAATATTTGGTATAAAGTTTTTTGTGTAGAAAACTGAAATTCCTCTATTTGTAAATGACGTCTTTTAAAATTTTTTAATAAATAAATAATGTGATTTTTCTTATTTTTTATAGCTTGTAGGCTTCTGTTGTGTATATTGTGTATGCTTACAAAATTTCACAAAATTTCGTCAATATTTGACTGAAAAAGGACGATATATTTATTAAAAAGTAATTTATTTTCGAAAAAAAAATTTTTCAGTTTTCATTTTTTAGTACTAATAAATTACATTTTAGAAAAAAGTTTCAAATAGATAAAATATGTATTTTTTTCTTCTGCATAACCTAATATTTTTTAAATATTTTATTTATGAGTTTTAAAATTTGATGGTATAGTGGAGGGGCGGACAATACTTCTGCGTGAGTTCGAGCGAAGAATCGGTTCTACGATCCGGCTCCTCAATTTTAAAGTCTTAACCCGGGAGTCGCGAAGAAATAATGTATAGGGCACTTTTTGATTGGTCCAGCGGATGCTGAGCTACACTCAAAAAATCGTGGGAAAATTTTTCGGAAAATATGCGAGATAATGTTTTGGGAATAATGCCAAAAAATTGAGCAAAAAGTCTCGAACAAAAAATGTAATGCGCTCTTTTTGATTGGTCCAGCGGATGCTGAGCTACACTCAAAAAATCGTGGGAAAATTTTTCGGAAAATAAAATTTGCGAGATAATGTCTTGGGAATAATGCCAAAAAATTAAGCAAAAAGTCTCGAACAAAAAATGTACTGCGCTCTTTTTGATTGGTCCAGCGGATGCTGAGCTACACTTAAAAAGTCGTGGAAAAATTTTTGGGAAAATAAAATTTGCGAAATAATGTCTTGGGAATAATGCCAAAAAATTGAGCAAAGAGTCTCGAACAAAAAATGTATGGCGCACTTTTTGATTGGTCCAGCGGATGCTGAGCTACACTCAAATAAAGTTCCGAAAAATTTTCCAAAAATTAAATTAGCATGATAATCGATTCGGAATACCACCAAAGTCTGAACCCGGGAGTCGCGAAGAAAAAAATGTATAGGGCACTTTTTAATTGATCCAGCGGATGCTGAGCTATAGGTCAAAATGAAATTTGTGATTTTTTGAAATTTTAAATTAAACTCTCTGAAAATATTTCCAAAGTCTTAACCCGGAAGTTGTTTCTTGTTGATTAGCTGCGCTAGTGTAACCTTGAATATTTTTTTATTTAATTTGTTTAATTACAATTTTTAAAAATTTACTTTGCATTTTTAAAAATAAAGGTTTCAGTATGATTGATGAAACAATTTGTTTTTTATTCTAGAATCTATTTCAGAAATTATATAATATAAATTTAATTAATGTTTCGAGAAATAAAAAATATCTAAAATGACAGAATTGGGACTTGTTCATTATAGAAATTGATTAATTTTTATATTGAATTTTGCAAACTTTAATTATATTGAAACGGCGATTTACAGTTTACAAAAGTAAATAGCAAAATTTTTGGGTTAAGAATCTTGTCAATTGTTATATGTACAAGTGCCAACTATTTAACACATAACTCTCTAGATAATGGCGGGAAATTTAAAAAGTTATTAAAAGAATTATTATTATATGTAATATATTATGCTTAATAAAAAATTATATTAATATGAAAGAATTTTCAATATTTTTGGTACGCAACAAAAATGAGTTTAGATTTTTTTCTTTGAAGTGAAACATTGCAATTATTATCTTCATAGTAAATATCATATCGCAATTATTATTCATCATTATTGTAAATATTTCAAATTTTTGTTATCTCAGTCACTTTTTAATTTGTTTCTTTTGCCAGAGTTCTTTTCGAATTAAATATTGTACATGGATATAGAAGACGATTATAATAAGAAAGATATCATTGGTTTAAAAGAAATTTTATATAGTTAGCAAAAATACGTAACGTAATTTATATATATATATATATATATCGCCAGGAAATGCAGTTCTCACGGACTTAAATTAAGTCTAATAGGATTGTCCTTAATCCAGGTAGTCCTGCACTGGTCTTCTACCCGAAACTCCAAGGCCAAAAAGACTGGCGCGTAAAATGAGTAGATCTCAACTGCAGTTCACTTTGAATAATGAATTCAAGTCTTAACATTATCATACTTAACCTTCTTAAATTACTACTCTGTCTGGCTGCGAAACGCATGATTTTTATATACTTAAATCCGTGTTAAGTTAATTTTATCTCAACCTTCAAAAACCCAAGTTTTATTTTTATAACATTTTCACACATTGCGTATATATATATATATATATATATATATATATATATATGAGAGGGGGTATTATTTACAATACTTGGAAAAATAATTTCCTGTTCTTTAGTTTTGGAATTTTTTTTTCTCTCTTCTGCCTGCAAGCAAAGATTCTCTTATCTAAATAAAAGTTTTGCTTAAAAAAAAAAAATTAGAAAATGAAAATATTATTTAAAATTAGAATAATAAAAAAAATTTAACAATATTATTTAATATAATAATGAAATTAAAATAATATGATTTTAATATACATTGAAAAAACTTTGACTCATTTTTGTAGCAATTCATTTTAAGTTGGGTATCGAATTCCATTGACTAAATTATTACACTGAAAAAAAATTTATTTGATTCAAATAATCTGTTACTTTACTATTATCAATTAATTATTATTTGTGTCAATTAAATTGTATTTGTAATTAATTTCACAAGTTTTGAAATTTAGCGCTATTATTTAAGTTGGCAATACCGTTTCTGCTGTCAAAACAAATGTTTTCATTTTTCTAACCTAAAAACATATTTCACTATATTACGTGAGTACAAGCAGTTTTGCCTTTTTTCTTTTTAATTTTTTATACTTTTTATCGTAGTTTCAAATAAAAATGTTTAAAAAAATAGTGAAAAATCTTTAAATATAATTGTGATAGGTTTTTTTTTTATAATTATGCACTTCGAACATGTCTTTCAGGTTTCGAGAGTACTGCGCCAGTCGCGGCAATAATGGGACCACGTGAGCAAAGAGTGCCTTCCGGGTCGACAATCACCCTAAGGTGTGTCATAACCTCCCCATATCAGACGCGTCCCATCAGAGCTGTACAATGGCTTCGAGATAATAAACTCCTGACAATCCTGGTAATTTACGATTAAAATCTTCAACACTTTCAACATTGTTCTTTTAAATTGCTACTTCACAACACAAAAACATATAGAAATGATGAAAAAAAATTTTTTTTTACTATTTTCATGAAATTTCTAAAATTTCCACTTCATTTTCAACACTATATTCTGTAAATTTGAATCAATGATATATTTTTAAAAAAAATATTTGAAATTTATTAGTAGAAAAATTAATAGAATTATTAAATTTAAATTTATTTTACCGATTGCTAATAAAATTGAATTATAATGATAAAATCTGTTCTATCAACAATCGGTAAAACAGATTTTTATTACAGTAATAATTTTATTGATTTTTAGTGAAATATATGATTGAATTTCATACATTTTTCTGTACAGTGAAAATATTCCTTAACTGCATCAGTTATTAGAAAAATTTCAACTATTCTTTTAGTAAAATTTGTACATGATTTAAATTTAGAGTAAAAAAAAAAATATAATTATTATTTTTAGGCAAAACGAGGAGGCATTAATGTTGAAACTGAAAAGAGTTCAGCTCAAACAATTTCGTCAGCAACACTTGCATCTGTTACTCCAGATGACTCTGGCAAATATTCATGTAGACCAACCGAAGGTCTACAAGATACAATCACCTTAGTCGTTGATCCAGGTAAACATTATTTTTCCCTTTTTTAGATTATCATAATTATTTCTTTATACATTGGGAGATTTTTTGTTTGAAAAATCATCATTGTTGCTGATTAATTTACGATTTGTACATACAGATTTGTGACCTAATTTTGAGGTTATGTTTTAAGCTCAAACCCAGTTGTTTCTTGTTTTATGACCTGTCAACACTGTAAAACGAGAGGTATTAATTTAATACCAATTTTAGGTACTAAATTGCCTTTTGGTTCTATTTCAATACCTAAAATCGGTACTATTTTAGTACCCTCTTTTTACAGTGAATCTTCAGGGCAAAAATACTAACAAATATGAAAATATAACCTCAAAATTAGATCAATTTCTATAGTTCAAGAGGTCGTTGGGTTTGAGGTTAAAATCAGAGCCAAAGTAGTAACAAACCGCCGCTACTGTTTCAAGAATCTACGTTTTTAAATTTGTTAGTTCTTTGGCTCTGATTTTAACTTGAATTAGAAATTGACCTAATTTTGAGGTTATATTTTCCAATATATATATTGGGATCTCTTCTACTGTGATACGCCATCTGGTAGGATTTTTTGAACTACTGACGGGAGGTCGCATCCACCAATCAGAATCGCTTCTACTTTAGTGGCGAAAAATGAAACTAACTGATAGAAGGTCAAAAACATAAACCACGCCCCCAAGAGAGATCCCAATATATGTATACACATGTAATGTTACTTTATACCATTAACACAAAGCTTTTCATTTAGTTTTATAAAAGCACTTTGTATACAAACAATATCCAAATTGATTTTTCTACTAGACGTATAATAATATTGTAAACAAGCCTCAAGCCAGATTATTTAAAACATGAAATTCAATCACCCACACAGAACATTTATGAATTAAATTTCCGAAAATTTGATTTTTACACTTTGAGAGCTTATGGTTTGTTTCAAATTTTGATTTATTTTTACAGATATTATAAAACATTATTTTACACAGTAATTTACGATCATAATTTTTATTTTTCTTAGCAAAAAAGGAAAAAATTTTTTTTTTTCAAATTTAAAGTAAAAATACTTTTATTATAATGAAGCAAACCAAAAACAAGATGTAGTAAGAAAGATAGCTCTTTAAATTTCTTCCAGTGCAATCTGAACTATTCTAATTAGGGTGACAAATCCTCTCAAAAGAGTGGAATTTCATTCTCGTCTCGTACAACGAACTTGTAATTTAATTCGTGTTACACTTTTGCACAAAACGCAGAAATTGATAGAAAGTTTACTACGTTAAATTGAGATATTACACGTTTAATCTCAGTATTTATGGCTAAATACATTAACTTAATTTTTAAACTAAAAATAGTATTTCAAGAAATTTAAATAAATTCCTTCTTTAGTGGTAATATTATTATTTTTTTTTTTTTTAATTAAAAAAATCTAGTCAAGTTGTTTGAATTGTACAATATTCGAAATTTTGGTATTAGTAATTAGTAAGCGATAGATTTATTAAGTTTTTATAAATTTAAAAAAATTTTAATGTCAATAAATAAATGACAAGAGGTATATATTGGCACTATGATTTTCGTAATCAGCGCATTAAAATACATTTTTTATGTCTTATGCTTTTTTTTAATTTTTCATAATTTTAATTTAATTATAAAAATTATAGCCAAATAACCAGGCTTTCAAAAAAATTCTATTCGTTTGCAGATACAAATTCAGCTTTGGTCACTAGTTTCGAAAACGTCTTACCTAACTATTCATGCCCCGTCCTACTCTATAGTAAATTTTAATTTTATAATTTTTTGCATGAAATTTTTTAACCCCTTAACCTTCGCTTGACAAGATGCCCACCCAGGGTGGGCCAGACAAATTGAAATTGCCATATCTTCTAGAGTTTTGCCTTAATTGAATCGCGATTTTAAGTCACTGAACAAAATCTTAAGAACTTTCAAAAAATGTAAAAACAAATTTTTAAAAAAAATTTCTTCTTGATTATTTATAACTTTTATCAATGTATGTACGGAGATAACCGGGATGATTCAGATATTTTTTTAATTCTATTTTACAAAAAGACTTGAAATCATGCAGACTTTTCACTGTGAGTGTTTTATGATGTCAAATAATAGATATAAAAAATATTATATTGCATTTTTCATTTGTTTAAACAATTTATTGTTATTATTTATTAACTTTCTTTGTTCTGCACCTAGAAAGATGCAGTTTTTTTCTAATTTTGCAATTTATCAAGCGGAATATAATAAAAGATAGATTTGATGTAAAATTATTAATTCAACAATTGTTTAAACAATTATTGTTATTATTTACTAACTTTTTTTGTTCTGCACCTAGAAAGATGCAGTTTTTTTCTAATTTTGCAATTTATCAAGCCGAATATAATAAAAGATAGATTTGAAGTAAAATTATTAATTCAACAATTGTTTAAACAAATAAAGTTAATAAATAGCAACAATAAATTGTTTAAACAATCGTTTGAATACTAAATTCATATAAAATCTTCATGTTTATTATGTTGAGCTTGTTAAGTTGCAAAATTAGAAAAAAATTGCAACTTTCTTGGAACATTATAAAGAAAGTTAATAAATAGCAACAATTATTTGTTTAAACAATTGGTTAAATAGTAAATTCATATAAAATCTTTGTGTTATTATGTTGTGCTTGTTAAGTTGCAAAATTAGAAAAAAATTGCAATTTTCTAGGAATATTATGAAGAATGTTAATAAATAGCAACAATTATTTGTTTAAACAATTTATAATAATAGTTGTTGCAAATTGAATTATATATTTTATTTTATTTATAACCTTTGAATTAATAACTACGAAGAAAAGGTAACAAATTTATAAAATTCTTCTACTGTCGTATGTATATTTGAAAAAGTTATAAATTATTAATAATAAATTGTTTAAACAAATAAAAAATCAACAAAACATTAATAAAATATATTATTTGGTAACATATAACAATTTTGGAAAAAAACTGAATGATTCTAAGTTTTTATTGCAATATACAAAGAAGAAAACATTTGGCCCACCCTGGGTGGGATCTTGTCAACCGTGTATATAAAAAGTATCCAGTCCGGCGAAGGTTAACTGCGATGACGAAGATTTGACGCACAAAATTGTCGTCATCAGCAGTTAAGGGGTTAAAATTGATGCATTGTCAAAGTCGACGATAAATTGGTTTGGCATGGACCTGCCCATATGTAAAATAACAATTATATATCACATTATGATATCAAAGTATTCGCATTATTTGTTATGTGATCTTACATTATATTTTGTTATCCAGTAGCAAAAGTCAGTTACAGTCAGATGAAACATTTCAAATATTTATAATTCTGCTGGCAGTAGTAGAAGACAGTGACAGTCAGACTAAACTTTTATGAATTCTCGTAACTGTGTAGTGTAAGTAGTAAACGTCAGTTTCAGTCAGACAAAACTCGTCTCGTGTGGAAATACCACACGCAAGACAAGTTAAAATCGTTATCATTTTTTTTTTTAATTTTTATAGATTTTATTAATGAATTTATTCATTATTGATTTATTATTGATTTGTTATTATTTATTTATTATTATTTATTTATTATTTATTTATTATTTATTTATTATTTATTTATTTATTATTATTTATTTATTATAATTTATTTATTCCAGTTACTTAAAAAGAAAAAAAGAATCTTTCTCTTTCAAAAACGACCATTTCTGAAGAATCACTCATGTATTCTTGCAATTTTTAAAAAGCAGTATAGTAAAAGATAATTTTAGTTCTAGTCAAAATCGACTTGCATTTTGTGTATAATTTAGTAGTTATGGAATAAGATGAGTTGGCAGTTAGACTTTTGAAATTACAGTAGCTATACTATTATATATAATAATAGAAAATATATGGTAATAAATATTAAAACAAATAAGGTCAACAATGCAAGAAACATTATTCAGAAATAGAAGTTTATACGCACCTAAGACATTACTTCCGTCTGGCTTCTAGAATTTCTTGAAAATAACTGTATATCACTTTCCAACTATTTGTCTACTTGATCCCCTTGGAAGTACAATGTAAGGATACGATGGCGTGGAAGAGAAGAGAGAGGGAGAGAGTTGAGAAGTGGAACAGTAAGCTTGCATGCTAGATTCACAGGGTGGTCTCTATTATCGTGAATTCTGTTGCGGAAGTCGCAATTTTTCCTCGACGCTGTCGCAGAGATGTATGTTGACATATATTCTCGTATTTGCAAATATATACATTGTCTCTTACCACAGACTCTCTCTCTCTCTCTCTCTCTCTCTCTCTCTCTCTCTCTCTCTCTCTCAAATTTACACACACACACACATTTTATTTATATACGATAGGGGGCTTCGCCCCTCTGCGCCCCCCTAAATCTTATATTTTTGAGGTTATGTTCGTATTTTAACTAAAATAACTGTCATATAGATTTACCCCAACCAAAAATGTCAGTATTATACCAGAGTTAACTACTGGCGCAGTACTGGTTCAGTATTGGCTGCCGAGGCTGGGCAGTCTGTACTGAACCAGTACTGGTATTTTCATTGTATCAGTACTGTTGTAGTACCACCCTCCCAGTACTGGCAAACCAGTACTGAGCCGATATTGAGCCAGTACTGGCTCAAATAGATTTTCCTTTTGATTAATACTAGTTTATTGCAGTGAAACTTATGTCTGTTACAGTTAAAGCTTTCTTTTCGTATACAATAAATTACAAAACTGCCAGTATTCAGCCAGTACTGAAGCAGTAGTGGTTACCAGTACTGGTGCCAACTCTGGCAGCCAATACTGGTAAAATGTTATCATCCCAAAGTTACGCCAACTCTGGCGCCAATACTGGGTGCCAGTACTGCGTAAACACTTGTCAGTACTGCGCCAGTACTGCGCCATTAGTAAATTTTTGATTGGGACATGACATATTCACGTCATTGAAACTTTTTGAATCAGCGGCGGCGGCGGCGAAATATTTTTATCGTAGGTCATAGGTGGCCT